AAAAAAACAAACAAACAAAAAATCTATCTATCTATCTATCTATCTATCTATCTATCTATATATATATATATATGCCTAAGCGACTGCTTGATTATTCGACTGTTCAACCACTGACTACCAGGAGGCAGATGCTCCAACCAGTAGGTTAGCTTGCTGCTGGGGTCTGGCTGATTGGGACTGGGCGAGACGGGCCAGACACGCCCTGGAGCCCTCCTGCAGTCCCTCCCCGGCTCTGATCAGCTCCGATCAGCCCTGATTGGGACTGGGTGAGATGGCCCCGATCAGCCCAATCGCCGTGATAGGGACTGGGCACGAGGGGCTGGACACGCCCTGGAGCCCTCTTGTGCTCCCTTCCCAGCCCCGATCGTGCGTGCACTGGTGGGGTCCCAGATTGCGAGAGGGTGCAGGCCAGGCCGAGGGACCCCACCGGTGCACAAATCCATGCACCGGGCCTCTAGTTTATAATAATATAAAACTGATATTGAAAATTTTCCAAATTCTATCCCCTCAAATTGACAATTTGGTGTGTATTCCTCCAAGTATTTTTTCCTAACCATATGCTACCAATTACATTTCTTTTCAAAATTGGAATCATAGTATACATAGTTTTTAACCTGATTTTTCGCTTAAAATATCTTATACATATCTCATTATCAACACATACAGCTTTATCTTCTTTTTAATAGTTATATACTATTAACTGTGTTGTGTTTTTAATATATAAATTTTATAATCTTATTTAATTATATTAAGTTTTTGTGGCATATTGTTCAATTTTTATGCTTAGAAAGAAGGTTCTCAATTTTTTATAAGAATTTTCTGATGGACTATTCAAGAAACTATCCTAATTTTAAAAGACAAATTATGTTGTGAATGAGTGAAGACTACTGACACATTTGTATAAACTATAGGAGGAATCTGGAAAAACTTTGCAAATGAATGGGGAAAATATTATCTTGATAAGATAAAATATATTGAAGTGCCTATTTTAAGTGAATAAAATTCACAATATATTGCCATTGCAGCTGATCTCAACAGCTAATTTTTAGAGATTTAAAATACATCAATGATCTTTGAAAGAGAGAACTCTTACTACCCCAAAATATTCATGAAAAAATTCATAAGCACTGTGTTAAGTGCTAGGAATGCACTGAGAAAACACAGGCAGATGCTCACAAACACACACAATCTCTGCTTTTACAGAGTTTACAGTTAAGTGGGAGACAAACCTTATTCAAATAATGATGCAAATAAATATATAATAACAAACTGCAGTGTGTGCAATAGAAGAAGAGTATAGGATAAGAGCTGATTAAGATGGAACTGTCCTAGGCTTAGAACATCATGGAAAGCTAACCTGGGGTGTATCAGTTGTGCTGTGGTTGGAGGTAAGGATGGAGAGGTGGGTTTGATGCCAGGTGAGGGGGTGCATTACAGAGAGAAGAAACTATAAGGGCAGGAACCCTGAAGCTGGAAGGAGAATAAGCCCTGGGTAACACAAGGGCTAGCTGAAATGCCTGCAAGAGGAAGAAGGAGCATGCCTCTGCTAAGGTATTTAAATTCAAACAGTTTTCACCATTCAAAAATGATGTAAATATAGGCTTTCAGGTTGTGTGAGTCACTGAATGATAGTTGAAGTCCTGTGAGTGTCCTGAAACTGAGTGTTCAAAAAATTCCAGAATTTAAGTGCTGGATAGAAGAGAATGCCCCAGCAAGTATTCCTGAGTTGAAAAAAGAAAAGCCAGGAGTGAGAATGATATAACTAAAGGCCAGGGAGAGAGGACCTTTTAAAGAGGCAGTGAGTGCTGCTATGAGATCAAGGTAAATGAGAACTGAAAAAAAGTCCATTGAATTTCACAACATGGAGGTCAACGACCTTTACAAAATGTCTAAACTCTGCTGATATTGTATAATGAGTTTCATGCGTCTTCTGAATTGTCTGTGTCTTTTGCCAGACTGGGAGGGGTGTGGGCTGCTTTAGATCCAGTGCAAGCTCCTGGAGGTCCAGCCACATTCTAGCAACAACGAACATGGCGTTATAAACAACAAAAGCATTATATGAAAAACACATTTTTGACAAGGCATTTATTACCACATGCTTTGACATAAAAATCAACTGGGTTCTTATTAAAAAACATCTGTAATACTCTCAACATTAAAAGATAATTTAAAAAAAGAAAAAAACATGAAATGTATTTCTTGCACAATACTTGTACAATTTCTTGTAGGTATCTGATAAATCTAGATATTCAGAACCAAAATTCTGTATAACTGAAATATATGGAATCTGGAATTTCTTCAAACCAGGGACAAATTCCTTTAATTTTTCAAGTTTTAGGTAAGTTTCTGCCTTTTGTGATAAATGTATTTTTACAGATAGACTTTTTTTCTTTTAAATGGAATATTTTGGATGTTAAATTTCTTTAAAATTCTAGAGCTTTTTAAAAAACTGCAGTCTTCCTTTCATCAAGTGTGACGTTTTTCCCTTTTTCTCTCCTTAAGTACAGGGAAGGAGGTATAGATAGAAGTGGAAGGATATATACTTTTTAAAAGGTCATCCTGGGCTGGGTGTGGAAAAGCAAAAATTATGATGCTTGCTTCCTCTACTTCAATAGGCAGTTTAGCTCTGCTTAAGACTATCACGGGAGCCTCAAAGTTATAAATCCAAGGCAACTGTAATCAAACCCAGCATGGTTTCTTCTTTCATATAACAGTAGCAACCATTTATTAAGCACCTGCTATGTGTCAGACACAATGTTGGTGGCTTTAAATATTATTTCCATAATCAAGTAAATCGTGATCCCCATTTTACAGAAGACTAAAGCTTTGAGATGCTAAGTAACTTGAACAATTAGTGAGTAAGTGGTAGAGCTAGATTATGGATGCAGAACTGGTTCCAAAGCCTCTGCTCTTTTCACACCTTGCGATGTTAGTGCCTTTTATTGTTAGGGGTCCTCCTTGGGGGATGTTGGGGCTTGCACTCCCGACTTAGACAGCTGTTGGGAAGAACAGAAAAATAAAATGTTCAAGCGTATCTGAGGAGGCTCACCAGCACCCCTCTCCTGCACAAAAATTGCTCCAGGCTTACTTATTAGATATTCCCCATTCTGAAAATTTATATTTCAGTGTACACCAAATTGGCACTGTCCTTTTGTTTTTTAATGGAACACCTGCTCACATGTCTTGGTAGGTGGAAAGAAAGCGGATTTTTTTTTTAAATCTTTGTCAAGGTTCAGCACAAAAACAATAAAACAATGCAACAAATAAGATTGTGTATATATGAAGTTCTACCTATAAATATACTTATCACAAATAACAGAAAGAAATAAGACTATATCCATAGTCTTATTACTGTGCCGATGCATTAATTCCAATCTTTAGTTGTTAGTTTACTTATGTGAAGACTAGTCAATAGAAGGAAATTCCAGTGTGACAGAATTTTGACAATCGCTCAATGTTATCTCTAACAGGATCTAGTTACATTGTGCTCTTCCAGGAAGGATGTACGCTGTGTATATGTTTTAATCTGGCCCACCGTTACTCTCTTTTCTAGTTATACTATATGTGAGATTCCCTGACTGATATTTTTTTTAGGATCATGGGAAGAGAGAGAGCCCCGTCTTCCTTCCTTATTTTTCTATACTTAGGAGTTTAAATATATAATGTTCTCTTAGTAACTTTTTAAAAAACAACCTAGAGGTTTCTATGCATGTTTAACCAGTGTTTTACATTTAGTTTGGCAGAAGTTTATTAATTAGAACTATATAAATATGTATTATACAATTACATTAAGGATAAATTGTGATTTATGTGTTAATAACCTAACTTTCTCTCTTGGATCATTTTAATAGTGAGATATTTAAAATGTTTCTATAAATCAGCATTTAAAAATAATACTAATATAGGAGACTGGGGTGCAGTTTTTATTGGCACTGACAGTTACTGTGCTATAGAAAGAACCTAAACCTGGAACCTGACTTTAGCTCTGCCTCTTATTTACTTCAGAGAACTCCCTTCATCCCTTTCTTCATCTATAGAATGAGGATAATTTCCACTCCACAGTGTTCTTATGAAGATTAAATGACATAAATATAGCAATGTTCTAGAAAGACAAAACTGGATTTAAGGGACCTTGGGCATGGTGAGGAACTGGACATCTCAGAATAGTAGGGAGGTGCTTTTTATGGGGTTTGAGCAAAACATTTATTAGTCATGAGGCTCAAATTCTATGTATGGTAGGCCTCAAATACCTTTCTCCCAAATTCTAAGCCCAGACTTCCCCACCTGGGTGAACTCAACCCCAGGGCATATTCTGTGACTTTTTTGTCCTTGTTTCACTTCCCCCAGACTATAAAATTTGGAGAAGCCATTCCTTCATCTTTACATCCTTCTTATAACTGCTCATTGGTTAAGTGCTTAATGTGTTTATAGTAGACTAGAGGCCCGGTGCATGAATTCGTGCATGGGTGGGGTCGCTTGGCCTGCCCAGGGATTGAGGCCTATTGGGGGGCTGGCCAGGGGCATGGACCCCGGGAGGTTGGCTGGCTGGCCCCCCAATTGTGGCCTATTTGGGGGGCTGGCCGGCAGGGGGGAGGGACCATGGGTGGTTGGCTGTGGGAGTGAACTGACCACCAGGGGGCAGCTCTGCATTGAGCATTTGCCCCCTGGTGGTCAGTGCACATCATTACCGGTCGGGGGAGGTTGGCTGTGGGAGTGAACTGACCACCAGGGGGCAGCTCTGCATTGAGCATTTGCCCCCTGGTGGTCAGTGCACATCATAGCTACCGGTCGGTTGACTTGTCGTTCCAGGTGTTCGGTTGTCTGGTTGCTTAGGCTTTTACTGGTATGTTTATAGACTAGAGGCCTGGTGCACAAATTTGTGCACCAGTGGGGTCCCTTGGCCTGGCCTGTGGGATCGGGCCGAAACCGACTCTCCGACATCCCCCTAAGGGTCCCAGATTTCGAGAGGGTGCAGGCCAGGCCAAGGGACCCCCACTGGTGCACAATCAGGGCCAGGGAGGGACATGGGAGGTTGGCCAGCTGGGAAGGGACCGAGGGAGGGCTCCAGGGGTATCCGGCCCATCTTGCTCAGTCCTGATTGGTTGGACCCCAGCAGCAAGCTAACCCACGGATCAGAGCGTCTGCCCTCTGGTGGTCAGTGCACATCATAGCAAGCAGTTGAATGGTCTTAGCATATCATTAGCATATTACGCTTTGCTTGGTTGAACGGACACTTAGAGCATATTAGGCTTTTATTATATAGGATAAGGTCCTTACACAGAGAGCTGCACATCAGAACAGTGAGTTAGATTAGCAACTGAAAAGCCATTAGTGGCTCATTAAGTTAAAGCCAATTTTAAGTTCCTCCTTCTCTCAAGGAAAGAGCAGTGGTGTTTTTCCTGAATGAAATCTTAAATAGAATTGGGCCGCTTAGTGTTCAGTTTAAAGCCTGCAAAGATACAGGTGCAAGGTTGGGTGTGGGGACAACAGTTCACTTTGGTTGTGCTCCGGCTGGAACCCCCTGGCTTTGGTCCCAACAGGAGTGCCCGTCCCAGTCCCACCCGCCCGGTTGTGGGGTGCGAGGCAGTCAGCTGTCTTCCGCCCCGCAGGCCGCTGTGGCCGGGCTTCTGGTCTTGAGAGATGCAGATGAAGTGGTGTGAAGGGTTGGGCTTTTTTTTTGTTCCTTAAAATGCAACGAACAAAAAAAAAAGTACAACAATCCAAACCCAACCATCTTGCTGCACGCTGGCTTCCCGGCTGGCTCCCCCAGACTCCA